TAGACCTAACCACCCTCCACATTTTAAGGGATGTGGAAAACCAACACCACGGATTTCTCCCGTGATGCTCACCTTTTATGAAAATATTTATTTTTCTCAAAATCAATCGAAGTTTATACTTCAAAAATTTCCTTTGCATCAAACTCCCACCACAATAACAAATTACGTACTCTTACAAAATCTCCCAAAATCGTATATAATACTCATATTAACAAACCGATATATCAACTAATATCTCAAATAATACAACCTTTTGATATATTAATATTTAATAAAAATTCAGCACACATAAATTCAATTCTCAAACATACACACAAAAATATTCAAAGAAATCACGAAGAAAAAGAACTAATATCGGTTGACGTGAAACTTACCTTAAATCCCGATGCTCCTAATTCTCTTCTTCAGTTCCGGTCTCTAAGTATTCACCTTTTTAATTAAGATGATATAATTAGTCACTTATTCTCTTTATAATTATTTTACCCGATTTTTCTCCTCTTTTTTTTTTATTCGAATTTATTAATAGTGTTAATTAATAATTCGAATATATTTTATTAATCACTTTTTATTAATCACCTTATTAATTCAGCCAAATAATTCCGGCCCAGCCCAACTACCGGCCTAATAAAAAAAAATAGTCAACCCAGGTAAGTAGAAGCAAAAAGAAGACTTCCGTCTTCTTCATGTTGTTCGCCGGAAACGAAGGATGAAGCACGAAGTTTACCTCAACGACGTCGGCAAGTGGAAAATTCAGCGGTTTGTGCGGCGGAGAGGATCGACAGTGGACTGGAAGGCAGCGGCGGTGTCTCTTCCTCTAGTTTTAGTAGTGACGGTTTGTCCGGTGAAACTCCGGCAAGCTTGTTCTCCTTCGTTTCACGTCCGTTTTGTGTGATTCTTCTTCCGTTGGCTTCCTCTCACGAAGGGGATTGATTGAATGTGATTTTTGGCTTCAGTTTTGGATTATAACCAAGGGTCGAGAAAAAAAACAGAGTGTGTATATATATATTTATATATATACGTATATATATATATATATATACGTATATATATATATATATATATATATATATATATATATATATATATATATATTAGTGTATATATAGTGCTGGCTGGTGTTTGTGAATGAGAATAAACTAAGGCGGAGGAACCTATTTAAACTGATATTTAGGGTTCAAGGCTGCGTTTAAAGTTTATCCGATTGGTTTTAAGTTGCGTAGTTTGTGTGTTTCGTTTGCCGGCCAAGAAAGAAAATATCGAAGGTGTCTGGTCTGTTTAGGACTTTGCATGCTGCCTTTATGGGTTGATGTAGTTTGATTGGTATTGAAGTCTGCATGGAGCTGGAGTTTGATTCGTTTGCACATTCTGTAGTAGGATGGTATTATGAGTTGGAGTTAGAGTTGGATTTTAACTCATTCTATTCCTATTCTTGAGTTATACTACGTAATATTATATTGTGTTGTCTACTAATTGTAATCCTAGTAATATATTCCTATTTTATTGTATAAAGAGTATTTTATTTATACTATGTATTATTAATAATAGTGGTACACACATATATATTAGGAGTATTCTAATCTGTACTTTAATTAAAAATATAACTTTTACTTTTTAAGTCATATGTATAATTGGTACTTGATATAAAATGTTACTTCTTTTATCGGACCATTTTATCAGACTAAATGTGTCACAAATGTTAAATTTTGTCTGGTTCACTTGTTTAATAAAATGTTATTTCTATTATTGAAATATTTTTATCTGACTAAAATGTCGTAAATTTTAAAATTTTATCTGATTAGAATGTCACGACTGTTGAATTTTTGTTTGACTCACTTTATAATTAAAATGTTATTTTCGTAATATTTTATCTGTCAAAAAAAAAATAATTTTTTTTTTATTTAAATTTTTGAAGTGTCACACGTCCACCGCTCGGGACGCGCCTACGTCCTCACCCTCTGAAGAGGAGGCGGACTCCTCGTCCTCGCCTTCCTCGTCCATCATCTCTACGGATTTGTAGGGGCTCAAACGCTCTATCTCCTCTTCAAACTCCTCGAGCACCTCGTAGTCAAGCGACCTCGTGGAGGGCTGGTCGTCGTAGGGGTAGTAGTCCCCGTTCAAGCTCTTCATTACTACTACTACGGGCTTGAGGAGAGCAACTTAAGATCTAAAGGTGTTTAAACGCCTAACACTAGATCAACTACCTAGGAAGCAAAGTATGAAAAGCGAGGAAGATCGTGATGAACACTAACCTCGAACAATGAAGAACACGAAGAACAGGCTTGGGAGTTTATCTCTCTAGAAAATCGGCCAGCACTTCGACAAATTCAGAATGCAAATGTGATTCCTCGTCGGAGGGGAAGGGGTATTTATAGACACCCCCACCAACGGTCACTACACGTGGCACTCTCCCAATGGCCACATCAACGGCCACCACTGGGAGGCCACCACGTCACCAACGGGCCAGGACCAACCCATATCAACGGCCCACCGGCAAATCAGACTCCACGGCCTACACACGCTCAGCGGCTTTACAACTGCCAGCAAGCGCCCACAACGTCCCACTTGCTCACTAAGATCACAAATGCCAAACAATAACAGGATGGCAACGGCCAGGAACGTAACGGCCACAGAACAAAGGGGACAAATAGCCCACAGCCTTCGGCTCCTTGTAATAACCCTTGATGATAACTCTCTACAAGCGATCTGCGCACAAGGGTTCTCCCACAGGGTTACCTTGGCCAGAAAATCGCCATGAGAGTTGGATTCAGGGGGACTACGGCGAGACCGCTTCGGCCAGGGACTCAAGCAACTCCTTCACCCCTCACACTCTTCGGCCTGAAGCAGTGGGGGACTGGGGGACTACACCGGCCTCAACAAAACAAAAGAGTGCGAACAAGGTAACCACAAAGCATGGCCACATCATCCATACAGCACAACGGAACTTCATCGGCCAAAGGCCCATAACGTCACTAGCAACGGCCAACAAGCCACTAGAGACAAGGACGCTCATCGTCCTCCGCCAACAATTAATCTTGACGGGCTCTCGGCCAAAAACACGAAGGCCAACCAGCAACGGCCACACAAAGGAAATGAGGCCATCGTCCTCAAAGCAAGGAACAACCTCAACGGCTTCACCGGCCCAAACATGAACTTCAACCACCAACGGCCAGGAAAGGGAAAGCGCGCCTTCAACGGCCACCATTGAAAGAAGGACACTCATCGTCCCAAAACGAATTAAGGAAACAACGGCCTCCCCGCCCGCAGCGAGGAACAGGTAACGGCCAAAGCACAGAACAGGATCACCAAAGAGGAAACAACGCCAACGCCGCAACGGCTAACGGCCTGGAAATGCCCGCGTCGGCCAAAAGCAACAAAGCACAGAAATCTACTCTCCTTCACTTCGTCTACGTCTCAGCTTAGAGAGTGGGGGACTCCTGATGGAGTATATGGGCCTGAGCCCCAGGACCCACACACTCGGAAGAACAGAACACAAGACAACAGAGTGGCGCCCTCGTCGGCCAAGACGCCCCCGTCGGCCGAGAAGAAGCTAACTCGGATTATGGTCCTGAATTTAAGGAACCCGGGTGCCCTCGTCGGCCGTGCCCTCGTCGGCCGCGCCCTCGTCGGCCACGCCCTCGTCGGCCACGAAGACCTCCCAGAATCGGATCCTGTACTTACTCATTTGTACAGCCCATTAGAGGCTTTGTATTCGGCCCAGTAGCGGTCCAGTTGTAAATGGGCCTCCCAAGCCCAAGGCTTGAGAGCCCAACCCTAATTTTCTCTATAAATACTCCCCTTGGGAGTAGTTATAGGGGTTACAAAATCATTCTATTGAAGCATATTATTGCACTTCTCTCTAGATATACTCTATCACTTTATTTTCCACTGTCTTTATTTTTCGTCTTTTGTTTGTTAGGGAGTACGTTTTATGCGGTGTAGTTTTTAATACGGAGTAGTTCTCGATCTTTTCAATGATTCAATCTCTCGTTCCCTTCCCTTCTTGGATCTTATCACCCAATATATACAGAGTACCATTTTCAAAAAAAATTAAGACACGAAATGTGGGGAAACAAGTAAATATAAAAATATAGGGATTTTCAATAAATACTTATATGGTGTAATTTGAGTTTGCACTCCATTTTATTGCGTAATTTGGACTTTGTATCCCGTTTTTAAAAAACTTTGTTTTTGCACCCTAACCCCATATGAAAAGACATAAATGCCCCTCCATTGACAATTTTGTTGGTCTTCAACATATTCCTAATGAAGGACATTTTTGTCCTTTCATACGGGTTGGGGTGCAAAAACAAAAATTTATAAAAACGGGGTGCAAAGTTGAATTTGGATAATAAAATGGGGTGGAAACTCAAATTACCCTACTTATATATATAAAAACATAAACTTCTCAAATATCAATGCCAAACAAAAATGAATAATAATGTATAATATCAAAGATTAAAAAAACTATTAAAAAAAATTAACACACTGCCATTCAAAGAATAAATTCACAACTACTACGTAATTCAGATCACAACCATTTTAATAGGTGTTTGCCGGTGTAATTAAGTAACTCTGAAGCGATAACTACGACTCAAGTCATAATAATAAAAATTAATAATGAATTAATGAAAATAAAAAAGTATTTGGGTGTTTGGATCTTATTCTTAAAACTGTTTCTGCTCCTTCAGGGAGCAGAAACAAAAGTTGGAGTATTTGGGTGAAAGTGCAGAAGTGATTCTGGTGCTCTAATTTACTTCTAGAATCAGTTTTTTTAGAAGCTGGGGCGACTAGATTCTGATTTTGCTTCTGCTTTAAAAAGAAGCAGAAGCAGAATCAGTTCCAAACACCCAACAGTAATAATAATTATTTGGAGTCTAAATTAATTTATTAGCTGATGTATAGTAAGCCTAGGACTCTTCTAGGTAACGAGTCATTGTTATCCTTCGCAGCAATATATTAGGTCCGACCGGGAGCATTTTTTCAACAACAAAAATTCTTCCAAAATCGCTTGCGTTTCAACTCCAGTCTGTAACTAGTATTTCTGCTTGTTGGCTCCACGACTGCAGGTAAGTTACTCCCTCCTTCCCTTCCGCAAACAGATTCACACATGATTTACGATGTTTGCCTGACTTTAAAGTTAATTGGTATCTGTATGTAATTAAATTCTTCTCAGAAATATAACTTGAATATGTAATTTAAATTTATCTTGATAGATAAAATAAAAGTACAGTACGTACAAAAAATTAAATTCAATAAAAGTTAGATGTATAAAGAAAAGATTAAGTAAAATTTATCCTGAGAATAGCAACGAGAACTTTTGAATGAGAATGAGGTAGTAAGGCTTATTTACTTTGCACCACACTTTTCCAAGGCTATCTGCATTATGTATATTATCGTCTAAATTTTTTAATGTGAATTCCGTTAATATGAAAATGATGTATAGTGTTCGTAAATATCGTTTTTCCTTACATTCCAACACCAATTTTAAGGAGACAAGTATTACTCATCCGTCCCGCTAATTGTCCTATTTTTCTTGCAATAATTTTCTCGCATATTTAATTCTACATAAAAAACTAGTGAAATTTGAGAAGTGTGCATGCATGTATATATAGCTATAAATGTGGAAAATAACTAACCCTACACATGTATGTGGGTCCCAATGTAATAACTAAAGTAAGAAATAAATAATAACTCTCAATATTTTCTATTAGTAATGTGCTGATTTCTCAACGCGTGAAATCAAAATATAAATGCTGTATAAAAATTCTTAGTGATACATAACAATGATAACACACCTTTTTTTCCTTACTAAACGTATTTTATGCCTGCAAAAGTTGTATCTTCCATTTTCTATTTTTTCCATTATTAATGAGTAAAGACAGAACACAAATATATTTATTTTCCCATTCTTTTTTTCTTTTTTCGTTTGTTACGGGAGTACGTTTTATGCGGAGTAGTTTTTTATTGTTAACGATCTTTTCTACCATGCCACCCCATCGGAGATAGTGTCCTAAAAGGAAATAACTATTTGTCTAAAAAATAAAAGCATCACGAGAGGCAGTAAAAGGCCAGAGACAAAGCAGGTGCGCTTTTCAAACAAATAATTTATACCAAATACGTTCAATTAGCTATATGTAAAGTTAGTTTATTTGGCTGATATTAAATATAGAGAGTACACTAAGAACGAGTTAGAACTGTATGATCATTATCAAATTTTGTACTCATTCCGTCCTTTATAGGGCTATCTTTAGCTGGTTTGGTGCCCTAGACAAAAATTAAAATCACATTTTCATACGATATTAGTCATTAATATTTTACACCTTAATTATGTACTTCGTATATAGTAGATGATTAAAACTAGCAAATTAAACTTCACACTTTGACTTTACGGTTTTTAAGAAAGTGAAATTTTTGCTTTTGACTTTCCCAACATACCCCTACAAAAACTAGATTAGATGTAGTAGGAGAGAGTCAGTGAAACGCGTTTACCAAACCGTTTTCCAAAACGAAAAAAATGAGACATGTCTCTCTTTTCCTTAATGATTTGGAGAAGTGACTTTTACTAGTTTTCCAAATTTGGAAAACGCAGATGCTACAGCCGCTGCAATGAATTTGCATACTTACACCTAGTGGTGGGTCCGGTCCCGCTCCGATGTCGATTCCATTCTAGTACCTCCATCCTCGTATCTTACCTCTTACCCCTACCCTACCCACCTAACCCCCACCCCGCATACCCCTTTTCCCTACAATGACCCTACCCCCACCCCCTACCACATGCCCCTACCTCGGTCCCACCTCGATCCACCATACCCTACCGCCACCCCTACCACCTCAACCCCACCCCGACCCACACTACCCTACCCCCACTTCGTATATTACCCCTTACCCCTTCCCACATGCCCCTACCTCAGCCCCACCCTATCGCCATCCTACCCCCACCCTCGTGCCACCATCCTACCCCCACCCCACCCCTTCACCTACCTTGGCCCCACCATACCGCCATCCTATCCCAACTCCCTACCCTACCCCTACATTACCCCAACCCAAACCCTACTCACTACCCCCACCCTTACCCCTAACCACCACCCTAACTCATCCACTACCCCACCCAACCCCGTCTAGACCTTACCACCCACCCCCGACCATACCCCTTACCCCACCCCACCCATACCTTCCTTCCCTACCCCGACCCCTACGAGTAGGTATGGGTGGGTATGAACGAAGGGTTTTAGGGGAGTATGGGTAGAGTGTAAGATCGTGGTAAGAGTAAGGGTAGGGGTCAAGGGTGTGGAATTGGGTGTAGGGTGGGGGTACAAGGTATAGGGGCAGGGTAGGGATTAGGAGTATGGGTACACGTGCGAGGTGATCGACGCCACATATTATATTATATATTTGTGTTCATTAATGTTTGTGTGTCTATATATGTATAGGGTTATTTTGGACATTTTAATGTTAAACGGTGTTTTAAACCTTTTTGAAGTAAACATGATCTTATAAAATTGCTTATTTTATGTGTCGCTTATTAACGTGAGTCTTAATAAACACCATTTAGTAACCCGTGAAGTAAACGTGTAAGTCTTCTGGATGATCACAGAATTGGGTGAAAAAATTGATGAACATGTTTTCAGATTTGAAAATGGAAAACTAGAAAATAGAAACAGAAAATTGGAGATAGAAAAACAGAAAAATAAAAACTGAAAATTGGAGAACGAAAAACAGAAGTAGAAAACAGGAAAATATCTCTGTTAGTAAACAGGCCCTTCGTGTTTCATGTTAATCTTGTGTAAAAAAAAATTTAGTGTGAGCTACCCGCACAGGTAGCTCGTTTGATTCAGTGGTGAGAAATTTGGAACAATGATCAAGGTTTGAAACCCACAACGCTCGTGTGGAGGTTACAACTCTTGCGTGTTGGGCTGGACCTCTGGTGCGCACGGGTAAAAAGCATACCATCATTGGGCCGACTGAGTCACCATCACTTACATCCTTTCAAAAGTCCTGTCGAGTCGGGGTATGGGGAGCTCTTGGGATGGGAGATTCCACATTTTGAAACAATAGTGTGAGTCAAAGAGTTTTTAGTTACTTTCTACTCCGTATGTTTTAAAACAATACCATGATGGCGGCACATTATTTTATGGGGAAAGTTCCCGAAATAGGACTAAAAGAGTTTGAAAATTCCAAAATAGGACTATCATGTTTTTTATTCCCAAAATAGGAGTGATTACTGCAAAGTTTAGAAAATACTGCCATGTTTGAAGTCTGGTACTGCCAAAACATGACAGTAATTACTCCTATTTTGGGAATAAAAACATGACAGTCCTATTTTGGAATTTTCAAACCTTTTTAGTCTTATATTGGGTAATATTCTCTATTTTATGCGGTCACATTTTGTTTGGGTTGAATAATTATATCGATTTATTTGCCAAAAAAAAAAGAAATGATATCATTTTAATAATATTAATTCTTTATTTTAGTTAATTACCTTAAAATGCCATTCAAAAAAATTACCTTAAAATAATTCCATTGTATTATATAGAGAGCTTTTAATTTCTTTATGTACCTACCTCTAAGACTGTTAGCTAGGTTTGGGGTTCTTTATCTAGAATATCAATGAAGAGAAATTAAAGATTTAGACATGTAATTTATGAGTGTGTTTGTTTTTCAACCTGTAACTTTAATCAATAGTAGATTTGATCTTATAAAAAATAAATTTATCCATATTAGTGGGGCCGGTCCTAACAAAACAGGATTTGTTAAATTTGAGGCTTTTATTTAATGAAGTAAATACTATATAATACCCCATGCACTATATTAGTAATAAATTACGTATACTTATGTCAACTCACATGTTATTAATTATCAAGTTAAAATAGTCAAAATAAAAATATTCGTTAGCAAAATACACTTTATTTTTAAAAGAGATATTCTTTGAGCATATTTTCAATGAGTTATAATCAATGTTCTAAACGACGCAAGACATGCCAATGTGACAAGATTAACCCTTAAGCCTATGAAGCCTAGGCGAATTTAGATGGGGTTCAGATGTGAAAAGACATTTTAATTTTTATACTTCATTTTAATTCTTCGAGATATATTTTTAAATATGCAAGTCTTCTAATACTAAAGATTATCTTACAAAAACATCAAACTTTTCTAATTTTCAATTCAAGAGAGTTAGATATCCAGAGTCCTTATAAATATGACAAATATAATATCATCATCACTTAATTCTAATTAATTCTAATAATTGAATATAAGTTACTATGAGTCTATGACGAAAGTAACTATTAATGTCATTAAAGCTATATTATTTATGCAAAATTTTCTCAATGTCCATAGACCTGATATTTAGCATATTGGACCAATTCAGACAAGATCAAACTTAAATGAATCAAAATAGATCAAACTAGGTCATATAAAATCATATCATATTATAAAATTTCAGTCTAATTAAAAACAACGTTAAAGGTGTACTCTCTAAAATTCAGAACTCCCTATTAGATTAGAATAAATCTCCTGATAAATTCTACACATCCTAATGCCCTGAAACAATACCAATAAGAGTAATAATATGTATTTAGTTAGATATAAAGATTTCTAAATTTAAACATATCTGAATTCTTTTTAGAGTTTTTTACAACTATTATCTTTTTTTATCTTTTGAAAAGTGAGAAATAATATTTTTGAGCATTCTTTGTAATACATATATGGTGTAATTTATGTGTGATAAAAAGCTATTATAAATTAACTTCAAGTACAAGTATTCCAAATAGTTTTTGCCACTTTAGATCCCCGAATATTATGTCGGTGACACTTTTGGTATCCGATTTTAATTTTTCCTTTTTTTTAATCCTCGACTATCCTGCTAGGTAAATATTCAGTCCTCGACTTCAAAGATCCCACATTTAGTCCCCTGAGTATTATCAAATTGATACTTTTAGTCCTTCCACTATAACTTGACACAAGAAGTGGATGGTTTAAAATGTCACTATTATAATAGTTGAAGGACCAAAAGTATCACAATTGTGAAAGTCGGCGGACTAAATATGAAATTTTTTGAAGACGAGTACCAAAAGTGTCTCTAACACAAAAGTCGAGAGATACAAAGGAAAAAGAAAAAATTCCACTTTTAGTCCCATGACTATTATACCACTTCCACATTTAGTCTCTTACTTTCAGATTGTCCAAATTTAGTCCGTGACCATTATCCCCTCACCACCCCTCGGCCTTCCGGCTAAAATTCCGGCAAATTTAGCCCACTTATCAGCCTCAGAATTAGTCCTTGCATTAAATTTTATATAAGGTTAGGTTTTTCATACCAGTCTTTACATTAAATTTGTTTTTTCATACCTAAAATTGATCAAATTTGCCAGAATTTTGGCCGGAAGGACGAGGGATGTTGACGGGATAATGGTCACGGACTAAATGTGGACAATCTGAAAGTAAGAGACTAAATGTGGAAGTGGTATAATAGTCATGGGACCAAAAGTGGAATTTTTTCAGGGAAAAATATCAAAGTCGAGTATCAAAAGTGCCAGTGACGTAAAAGTCGTAGGAGTACAAGTGACAAAAAATATATCCCAAATAAAAAATAAGTATCCTATTATTTAATTTCTTATTTTAATATATTTTTCAATTTCAAACTATATTAGTATTTATAATTTTATCTTGGAAGTCAAAATGATGTAAATAGATTTAAGTAATAACACATTATTTGTTTATTTTTTTGCAAAAAGAAATTTTAGAGAGCGAAATTTAAAATACATTAAGAAATTAAAAAATATGTACAACTTGCCATCCATACGTTAGACAATTAAAAAAATGTCTGAGGTTGCTAGAATGTAAGAAGAAACACTTTTAGTAAACGAAAATTAAAAGGGGCAGATGTGTCTTACATGGGTTAGGTTGAGTAATTCTAGCGGCACATAAACAATTCCCTAGCTATTTGAATATATAGGACGTGTTTGATAACACTAAAATTGGCTCAATCGACAAAATCAGAGGAAATTTATGAAATTCTGGTTGAAGTGGCTCTAAAGTTGTTTCATTGCTTAATCTGTTGAATTATTGAAATATTATATTTAACCTAATTTTTTAAATAATTTTAAGAAAAATATATATATGAAAATAGCAAAAGCGGTTCTCTACATGAGTTTCAGTCAATTTAGTCAGAAAAGTAACTTCAACCTGAATTGGCGGATTAAGTCCGTCCCATTAAGTTTGTCTCATATTACCTCCGTCCCTTAAAACTTTGCAAAATTTCTTTTTTTGGATGTCACACTAACTTTGTCACTTTCTCATTTAAGTAAAGTATTTGTGGTTCCAATTAATTCTCTCTCCTCTGCACAAACCTCAACCACACAGTTTTTACTTTATTAATCCTCGGTCCGGTCAAACTTGGCAAAGTTTTAAGGAACGGAGGAAGTATCATATTTGGTACTACCTCCATCCCATAATTTACTTTCAAAATAAAGTGCCACGCGGATTAAGAAAGTGAGAATTGTGTGGTGGAGAGTTTTGCAGAGGAGAGAAAAATGCTGTGAACCACAAATTCTTTGCCAAAAAAGGAAAGAGAAGCTCTTTTTGGGACGGACGAAAATGGAAAGTTGGAAGTATTTTCAGGGACGGAGGGAGTAATATTTGGGTGGTTACAATTCATTCTTACTTTATTCACACTTTATCAATTTAATATCAACAACACAATTCTACTTTTTCTTAAAAACCACACCACACCCCTTTGTCCCAAACTTAGGGGGACGAAGGTAGTACTACGTAGTTTTTTGGGCATTCAGGTTTTTGGGGCCTTGTGAGGTCGAGCTGCCTGCCCATGCTTTCGGCCGGTCCTGCACACTAGGGATTATTTCACCAAAGGAATATACTTTTCAGTAAAATTATTGACTTCGGCAACATTCTTCCCGATAGCGTTGAATGAGATAGTGCATTTTTTGGTGAAAAAGTTCTTAAATAGACAAATTTATTAGTTATAGAACCAAATGTGTAAAGTTAATGAATTATGCACATGCAAAATCCAAAGTCACTTACTAAAATTGCAAATCTGCCTGTGAATGACACAACCTCACACCTATTTATACGTATGTGTTCCAGCTTTGAAGTAACATGTTGCCTCCAAGAATGAACCGCAAGAGAAAAGACAATGAAAATGAAAAGGATGGTACCGAAGGTAATGGAGATGTGCTTCAACTTTCAATGGGTTTCAAGGGATTAGCTCGAGGACAGCTAATTCCTTTGAGAAAAGTTCGACAGCGACGAAACCCGTCACAGGCACCGCGTGAAGGCAAGAGCGAGTTTATACCTCCTCCGTTTCCGTGGTCGACGAATAAGCGAGCAACTATACAACCCCTATCTTATCTGGTATCAAACAAGATATCTACTATCACCGGAGAGGTGCAATGCAAGCGATGCGAGCGTACATATGCGATTGAATTTGATTTGCATCAAAAGTTTTATGAAATCGGGAGGTTTATAATGGAAAACAAAGCGATTATGCATGACCGGGCACCCGAGATGTGGAGGAACCCGGTTCTCCCTACGTGTCGGTTTTGCGAGCAAGAGAATAGTGCCAAACCGGTTATTGCGAGTAGCAAGAAAGCCATAAACTGGCTCTTCTTGCTACTAGGTCAGCTACTCGGTTGCTGCACCCTCGAGCAGCTCAGATATTTTTGTAAACACACGAAGAATCACAGGACAGGAGCTAAAGATAGGGTTCTTTATCTCACATATTTGAGTTTGTGTAAGCAGCTCGATCCTACTGGTCCTTTTGATCGTTAAATGGGATTGAGTCTATCAAGTTCTCTGCTAATGGGTTTAGACGACTACTTATAATGAACCTAGATCTAGCTAGTTTTATGAAAAGATACAATTTGGATTATTTATTATATATGGAAGAGATCCATACTCTTTTGGGGCTAAGTGTCAGAGGATCTTGTTGTTGTATGGAATCCATAACATTTACTACCTCCATCCCAAAAAGATCGACCAATTTTACTTTTCTTGTCCAATGGTGTTAAAGTTTAGAAATGACTTTAGATATTAATTTGTATGCAAGTTATAAATTTTATACTTTTATGAAAGTTTTTTTAATAAAGAATATGCTCATATAATTTTCATATTCTAAATATTTTTATATTAGAAAATATCATTAGTCGAACTTGACCATCATTGATCAAGAAAAAAGTAACTTTCCAATCTATTTTAGATGGAGGGTGTATAGAGTTTAAAGCTGCAGTACTATGTACTCTTAGTACTATTCATCTTCTTAATACTCCATCCCTCCCGAAAAGGTTGGCTAAAAAGGATTTGTCATTTCCATTTAAAGTAAGGAATATGTGGCTAGAATTAATTCTCTCCTCTGCACAAATTTCAACCACACAGTTTTTACTTTATTAATCCACGTAAAAGTTAACTTTGTCCAACCTTTTTGGTATGAAGAGTATAATTCGGCATGTTGAGTAAAATAACTGATTTATACGGAGTAGATCTTAATCTCTTATCATCTGCGCTTCCCTTCGGATTTCCATGGAACTCACGTGAAAGTCGACATGTTTGTTATCACCTCTCCGTCCCCCTACCCTTTATTGATCTTTCTGCACTCGTAGGCCTAGTGGGAATCTGCTAAATCCTAATATGAGTCTGAATAACATAATTGTGGGATTGCGACACCTATGCACCCATCCAAGTTCCATAATCAATTTCAATTGGGGAAGAAAGCCAAAAACAATTCTATTTCATTTCCATGGAATCCAATAGATTCTAGAGAGAGGATTTTCAGTTCTATGGAATCCAACAGATTTTATTCAATTCATTTAAAATGCATTTAAATCTCAATACTTTAAAATCTCGTGAAATCCGAATTAAGGACACCTTCAAATCATCATACTTTAATAAAGAAATGTACATTGATATAAAATTTTAAATAGAAATTGCTTTAAATAGGGGCAAAAACGTTTTGAAATTTCAAAATAGGAGTATCATATTTTTTTATTCCCTGAATAGGAGTAATCTGTCATGTTTGGGAAAAAATGTCATGTTTTAAATTAAAGCCTAGTAATGCCAAACTTGACAGAAATTTACTCCTGTTAAAGAAATAAAAAACATGATACTCCTATTTTGGAATTTCAAAACTTTTTTACTCCTATTTAGGAAATTCTCTGGATTTTAAATAGTGGTTTGAGCACGTAATAAACCTGTGTTTTTTTAATACTTTTCTGAGTACACACAGAAGTGATAAAGAAATGAAAAATGCGTGATGTACACCTTTTGTGTACACACATCTGTCCCCAGCAGACGAGTTGTCTCTCACAGACAACTCTTTTGAATTGTCTGTGGACAGACAACTCGTCTGATGGGGACAGACGTGTGTACACAAAATGTGTACATAAAAGATGTACGCCAAACAAAGTTGTGCTATAAAAAACTTGCAGTGCTCATTAGGAAAGTATTACACAAAAAACTTGTGTACATAAAAATTAGGATTAAAGTATCTTTATTTTTTTATGTGCTTTGTAAGCTACTCCGTATTTGTAGTACTCCCTCCATCCCGAAAATGTTGGCCAAAATTGACTTTCGCATGCATTAATAAAGTAAAAACCGTGTTGTTGAAATTTGTACAGAGGAGAGAGAATTAATTTTTGCCATGCATTCCTTACTTTAAATGGAAATGGCAAATCTTTTTGGGACATCCAAAAAAGAAAATTTGACCAATCTTTTTCGGACGAAGGGAGTACCTATTACAGAGTACTTTTTTACTTATAACGAAAATTATTTTATTGATAAAAAATGTGCATTAGCAAATTGCACGTGAAAATGGAAAGTTACAATGATAGAGAAGAGTAGAATTTGGTCATAATTATATGTTGGCTAAACCACATTATTATTATTTAGTGGAGATGGAAGAAAACTATCTATGACAGAAATCTCAAAATCACATTTATAAGATAAAATATGTACTCCCTCCGTCCCATTGAGAGGTTTCCACTTTCCTTTTTTGGGTGTCTCATATAAAGGTTCTCATTTCTATTTTAGGAAACAATTAACAATCTTAAGTGACAAATTAATCATTAAATATTAAAAATAATACATTTATAACATCACAGTTATCAATACTAACTACATTATAATATATACCTATTAAAGTTATTTCTCAAAATATACTCGAACTACTTTATTTATTTATTGTCTAAATAACCGTGTCGTTTTGCTATGAGAACCTTTCAACGGGACGGAGGTAGTATATAACTATATATACCAATCCTCTTCTCAACAAAGCTTCTAGATTCTCGGCATCTATACGCTTGTTCAACAATGAAGCCACTTTTCTTTTCTTTTCGGCACTTTCTGGCTTCCACCTTGAAATAATTGGGAACTCAACTAGGGGTGGGCATAACGGTTCGGTTTGACCGAACCGAACCGTACCAAACCGAATTAAACCGAACTGAAACCGAACCATTTGTAGTTTGGTTTGAGTTTGATAGTATTCCTCCCAAACCGTATTAAACCGAACCAAACCGAACCAAAATCATAAAACCGAATAAAACCGAATAAAACCGAACTAATCTAAAAATGAAATAATTTCTTATTTTTTTAAAATAACAAATCAAAATCAACTTACACCAAACTAAACCAAACCAAAATATAGGATTTCTCTCATTAATTTGATTGATGTTAATCTTTTTGAAGCTTTAATTCTTTAATTTTAGTGTCCAGGTCTAGAGTTTACTACAAGAGTTACATTCACAACTATAACAATTATAGTGATTTAAGTAGATAGTATTTAACTATAATTTATTACCCGCTACTACTATATATCTGGTTCATTACTTACAAGCACCAGTTTTATTTTTGTTTTGGCTTTATATATAATTTGATTAATTCACGTTGTTGTTGCTTACAAATGTGTCATGCTTATTTATTTTTAGTTCATATGTGTTTTGTTACTGTTTGCAAATTTATATCTAGCATTATATTTGGTTCATTACTATTGCTTCTTGGTTCATTATTTTGAGTTATTTTTTTTTCAATCCAAACCTTAATACTTTGATAAACCGAACTCCAAACCGAACCGAACCGTACCAAACCGAAACCAAACCGAAACTTAATCGGTTTGTATTTGGTACATTTTCTATCAAACCGATTAAACCGAAACCGAACCGAAACCGAAGAAAACCGAACCGAAAACCGAAATGCCCACCCCTAAACTCAACTAGAGATGCGGCATGTTTATACACGTTCACGTCATCCCCCAATTCATTCCACTCATGGCAGTTACAAGAATCAATTTCAATATATCAACTCATATACTACGCATTAACATATCCAATCTAGTAATTAATTAATGAAAAATTGGTTGTAAATGGGACTAAAAAAGTCCTGATATGCTCACATGGGAGTGCTTTTGTTCTTGTTCTTAAATAGGATCACATTTCCGTATTATTCCTATTTTACCCTTAATTATTTGTCTGCTCCACTCAAGTTCCAAGACCCCTATTCTTTTTCTCTTCATTTTCTATTTGCTTCGCAGGTAAGTGTTCAACGACTCCCAGGCAACGGATGACAAAGTCATGGACGACGATGGGATGATGAATGGAAAGCAATCGGAATATTCCATGAACGGCGATGAGGTGTTGCACACAGGATGACTGCCAAAGTCTGACAGAACATGTTCTTGGTTCATCTTTTCGTCGCAGGAATACCGGAATAGAGCTCAGAGGTCTATGTGTTATTTGGTTGTTAACAATTTCCAAAGTTAATCCGAAAATGCCATCAAAATGGCATTCTTACACTTCAAAAATTCCATATTTTGTTGTGAAAATGTCATTTGGATGGCATTCTGGATTAATGTTTGGCATTTCGATAAAAATGTTGGCATAAGCAACGAGATCTGTCAGATCTACATCGGCGGAGGTTAGATCTCTAACGGCAGAGGTCAGATCAAATCTGGCGGCGGCCAAATCTGCAAGGCCGGCAGCCAGGGGAGGCCAGATATGCTCAGATCTATGGCGGCGGCAGAAGAATCCGCATCAGCAACGGCCAGATCCGCAGTGGCAGTGACCAGATCTGCACCGGCGACCAGTTCGACAGTGGTGGCGGTGGCCGGCGGCTACCGGAGACCGGGGGAGGCATGGTGTTTTTCGGCTGCAGTAAGTTAGTTTGAGGGTATATCTGTCCAGATACAAATATTAACTCTTATTTGGGAAAATTTTAAACTTTAGTCCTATTTTAACAATTAAAGATTTGTTTACTCCTATTTAGGTAAATACTCCCTCTTAATTAATTGATTGATTGTTCATATAAATACTATACTACTCCGTATTGTATAAGAGTAACAATTTTGCTTTGGGTACACACTTTTCATACACACACACACTATAAATAACCCAAAAATTACCATTTTTTACCCCCTCCCCTCCCCCCACGTGTGAAACAGCCCACTCAGCCCCAAGACTCTCTCCTCTCTTCCCGCTAGCTTCCTTCTTTTTTTCTTGCAGCTCAATGCATACAACCCCAACTTTCTTTCTTTCTTCTTCTCTTCAAAATCAATGGGCTGAAACAACAGGTGGTTCTCGAGCTGAAGGAGATATTCCTGTGGTGGCTGAACTTGACAGAGTACGGGCGGCGGCAGCTGAACTTGACGGAGAATCGGCGGCGGCGACTGAGCTTGATGGAGAACCGACAACGTCAGCTGAACTTGACGGAGAACCAGCGGCGGCAGCGGCCATGGACGAAGTTCCTAAGCTTGGTATGAGTTTGTGTTGTTGATTTCATTGGCTTTCAACTTAAATATATTTTATTCTTCACAGACAATTCTCTGTATTTGTGTAGTGTATAATATCGTCTGTGTGTTTGTGAAGTGTATATATAATCTTGTTTGTGTTCAAAATGTTATAAAATTTACTTATGTCTCCGTGTAAATAAACTTATATTTGAAATGTCTGTGTGTAAATATACTTGTGTCTGTGGGTATATGTACTTATGTCTGTGCGTAAATCTACCACTGCCTCAACGTAAATGTACTTATATTTGAAATGCGTAAATTTACTTATGGTTTATGCGAAATGCGTAAATAAAGATGCACTTCATTATAATCTTTATTGTGTTCTAAGTTTGTTTTACATTGTAAAGATTCACATTTCAGTTGAATTTTTGTTCAACTATTCTATTTCGTTATTATGCTCATAAGGTGTTTGTTGAAATGCTTCAATGATCTTCTTTATTCATATTCACGATTTTGTGAGTTGATTCTCCCTTTTTGCTAATACGTTTTTATGCTTGATGGAGTTTATTAATTTTTACATTTATAAATTGGGTTGTCAATGAATTTAAATGGTCTTGATAGATTTTTTAGAAGCATGGATCAAGATACTGAGTGTGGTCAATGCTTTGATGAGTTAATGCTTAAGTTTCAATCTTTGTAACACACTGTTCTTTTTTCATGCTTAAAATGATGTGTGTGCAATAAGCAGCAGGGTTGTGTGCAAAAAGTGCAGTTAGCAGCCTTACAGGATGGGAAAGCAGAGCTCTTGGCTGCAGGGCACTTCTTTCTTGCGGGAGTAAGAAAGAAAACACCCAGCAGGAGAAAAATGTACATTTTGGGAGTGAAAAAAAAAATGCTAGGAAAGGAGCTCTTGGCCGCAACAAATCGGAAGAAAAAAACCATAGCTTGTTATTATGTTGAATGAATATATTTGAATTATAAATATCCATGCATTACTTTAGTTCCTCAATGGATGAGAATTATGAAAGTTAATACGATTTCTTATGTTTGTTTCTCTTTTACGACATTATGAAAACACAAGTAATGCTTTAATCACGCACATATAATATAAATGAAGACATGGATGATGCTTTGACTAAATAGACAAAAAGTAATGATTAGATTTAAATCTTAGTTTGATGTAAATGTGCATGGCAGTTTTTAAAATGTTTTTTTTCCTCAAAAAGTCTTATTCAAACTATACAAAAGCAGATACATAGCACAGACATATATGCCACACATCACAGACAGAGTGTTTGTTCTTCACAGACACACAATGTGTTTGTGACAAATATTATAGTGTACATTGCACAGACAAATACGACACACCTCACAGACAGAGTTTTTCTGCTTCACAGACACGCAATGTGTTTGTGACAGATATTATAGTGTACTTTAACAATTTTTTAAAATGTTTTTTCTCAAAAAGTCTTTTATTCAAACTAAGTCCTAGCAGATACATAGCACAGACAAATACGGCACACATCACAGATAGAGTGTTTGTTCTTCACACACACAATGTGTTTGTGACGGATATTATAGTGTACATAGCACAAACAAATACGCCACACATCACAGACAAAGTTTTTGTTCTTCACAGACACACAATGTGTTTGTGACAGATATTACAATGTACATAGCACATACAAAGTGGATACAAATCACACACATAAAAGCTTTCTCCGTTTATATGAACACCAATGACAGTTAATGTTTCTCACACAAACAAAAAGGCATACCAATTGACAACATTGGTAATATTTGGGAGTACATTCTAGGACAGTATACAACATTGTTATTGTAACATTGTACAACATCCTACATTTCACAACCAAACCCATGAAGGCCAAAACTAACCACCACAAAATGTATATAGTAAGGTTACATCAATGATTGTACATCCAAACCCATCATACACTAAACATTCACATCCATTAAAACTTGTCTAAGTTGATCGCTTCCTCAAACTCTAGAGTCTCTTTGCAAATTCACATCTTTTCGCTGCCATGTTCTCATACGCACACTCGGGCATCAAGGGCAACTTCTGCAATAGTGTCTCCGCAAATGTTGCCGCCATAACTCCGCAAACATTGGATATGAAAATAATACAATTCATACAGACATTACATTTCTATGCACAGACAAATTGTATTGGTGTACAGACAAAAAACGGGGTCTATTTGATGACCCGAAACATAAGTGGAAGTCTGATACACAATGTGTTCTAATTATATTTTAAGTAGTGAATTCATTTTTTAAAATTTTCTTTCAACAATCCGTATTATTTTAAGGTACCCGAGGTCCAAATTAACCAAGGTATTTTAAGTAATCTCCAAAAGTCCTAGACATTTGTTCATTTGAACCTGTTTGAGTCTTATAGCGTTGTGTAGAAGTACAAACATCATATTAGTCACACAAACATATGTAGAGTGATATAGACAATCATATAAATCTTCACAGACTAATGGAGCCAGAGCCAATTACATATAACCTCACACAGATAAACACTTGGACAAATCTAACTTTACAGAGACAATACATATGTCTTTCAACAGGCATAAAATCAACCTTACACAGACAATACATATTGTTCAAAATCCAAGCAATAGATGGGTTCCAATAAATTTGATAACTTGATAAACCATTACTCACCCTCCAAATAAACATCATCCACTACCCTAAAACTGAAAAAATTCCAAAAATACATGATACATACCTTTCGGCCATGCTCGAAAGAGGGGTTCACACCATTTTCGACTGAGACGAGGAGGAGGGTTCGCACCTTTCAATGCGCAGCGACGACGGTCGCCTTCGACAGGGGTTGGCAGGGAGGAGGGTTGCCTTCAACGGGGTCTGGCAGGGTTGAGTCGTGGAGGGTTGCCTTCGATGGGGGGTTGCAGGGGAGGAGGCTAGTCTTCGACTGGGGTTGTCGGGGACGAGGCCTTCGATGGGGAGTTGCAGAGGAGGAGGCTATTCGGGGGTTGGCGGCAACGAAGAGCTTCCAGCGATGGGATTAATCGGAAGAACAAAGCAAGGGAGAAGGAGAAAGTTGTGGCAATTCCAAGAAAGGGAGAAGTTGGGGATGCACGACAAAATTGGGAGCAGAGTATTTTTTTGACAAAAATGATGTTTGTACACACTCTTATACACACTTTTATACACACATATGTCTGTGAAAGCTTTTTTTTATCTGTGAAAATCAATTCACAGACAATGTTTTACACAAACAAAATATTGTCTGTGAACCGGATTCACAGACAAAAACAAAACTTCACAAACATGATGTGTATAAGATGTGTACAAGGGTGTGTACATCAAGAATGATTGTTTTTTTGAAGTGGCGAGAGGTAAGGGAAAGGGGGGTAAATTATTTTTGTGGGTATTTATAGTGTGTATGTATGTGTATGGAAAGTGTGTAACGATGTCATTTTTGTAAGAGTAATAACTAAATTGCACCATAAACGCCGGCTTCTACAGCCGGGCAGATGAAGGGTTCTATATGAGGTCAGGGATCAAGCGGGACATGCGATTGGTGAACCAATCTTACGAATGGGTGGAGAGACTCATCGTATTCCGGCCGGAGCTCTGGACCTGGCAAATGGCGGTGAGAGACGGGTTGCTGGAAGCCGGAATCGATCCCTACAATGGCTTCAGCTTAGAACACGTTCTTGGCACCAAGAGTGGTGGGTCCACCTTCGACCCCACCTGACGCAGACACATTTCAGCCGATCTTCTATTGTACGCCAATCCTTCCAACATGCGGGTGGCCGTCCACGCCACCGCAGAGAGGATTCTGCTCAGAACACGCACGGCAGCCGGAGTTGTTTTCCGGGACCTGAACGGCAGGTATCATCACACCATGGTTAGGGGTAAAGGCGAAATCTTGCTCTCCGCCGGAGTTCTGGGTACCCCTCAGATCCTTCTACTCAGTGGAATCGGCCGTAGACCATATCTATCTTCTTTGGGCATTCCGGTCTCCTTCCACTCACCTTACGTAGGGCAGTGTCTATTTGACAATCCAAGAAATGGAATCTCTATTGTCCCTCCGTTACCCCTAGCCCCTAGGGCACTCTCTGGTTCAGGTTGTGGGAATGACAGAGTTAGGTGCTTACCTAGAAGCTGTTTTTAACGTCATCCCTCTATCTTCCCCTACCCCACACCCCTTCTTCACCGAAACTCCATATGCTCCTCCGGTTTACTACCGGACAGTGGCAACAATCTTGGAGAAGATTATAGGGCCGGCATCTACCGGGTCACTGAGATTGGCCTCAACTGATGTTAGGATGAACCCTTTGGTCAGTTTTAATCACTTCAATGACAGGGGTGACCTACTGACCTTGAGAGCCGAGAGGTGCATGAATGGGAGCAGGATGATAGGGGAGATTTTGAGGACTAGTTCAATGGTGGCTTTCACGTTCACCCAATGGTTCTGCGGTACGGATTTCATGTACGTGGGGCCCGCTTTGCCCGAAGACCAGTCAAGTGATGTTCTGATGGAGGAGTTTTGCCGGCAGACTGTTAGTACCATATGGCATTACCATGGTGGGTGTGTTGTGGGGAAGGTTGTTGATGGAGATATCAGGCCCGTTGGGATTGAGCCTCTCTGGGTCGTCGACGGGTCAATATTTACTGTTTCACCCCCAGGACTAATCCGCAAGCTACCCTTCTCATGCTTGGGAAGTGAGTGAATATATACTGCTCTCAGGTTATTCAACATGAAGTTAGTTAATGTACTAATACAACAGTCTTAACTTGTTTGAGTGTATCATTGTTTGCAGGTATGTGGGTATGAAGATGCTAAGAGAAAGGTTTAATAGAAAGTGACCAGATCATTTTTGTGACTGTCAGATTTGGTAGTGTTATTTTTGTGGCTTATGAAAGTGGGCACTTCAGTAGAGAAGTTAAGGCATGAAGAAAAGAGGGTGGTTGCCTGGGTGGTGTTTTGTTTGTTGATACATTGATTAGAAGAGGAACCAGTTTGCAGGGTCTTCATTGTGTACATAACCTGAGAGTTTCACTCCTTTCAATGCGCATTCCTGATGTGTATTTTATGAAGTTTGTGCTTGCTAGTAAACTACTCATCCCTGTATAATTGTCTGTCAAAGAGAGGGAATTGACTATAGTGACACCTATTCGTCAGTTGCAAAACTCAAGTCCATTCGAATTTTGCTTGTGATAGTAGCATACTATGATTATGAGATTTGGCAAATGGATGTTAAAACTGCTTTCCTTAATGGAAACCTCAAGGAGGAGGTGTACATGGTACAACCTGAAGGTTTTATATCCAAGTCAAATCCCAAATCAGTATGTAAATTGGAGAAATCCATATATGGGCTAAAGCAAGTCTCAAGGAGTTGGAATATCCGTTTAGATGAAGCGGTCAAATCGTTTGGCTTCATCAGAAGCAATGAGGATGCGTGTGTGTATACAAAACGCAACAAGGATAGCGTGGTCTTTATGGTCATATATGTTGATGACATTCTGATCATAGGGAATGATATCCCCTTATTGAAGTTCGTGAAAGAATGGTTATCCAATATCTTCATGATGAAAGATCTAGGTGAAACCTATTATATCCTTGGGATTAAGATCTATAGAGACAGAGTTAACAGGATGTTGGGTCTTTCACAATCCACGTATATTGACAAAATATTACATCGATTTAAAATGGAAGAATCTAAGAAAGGATTCCTCCCGATGGGTCATGGATATCGTTATCAAAGAAGGATAGTCCTTCAACTGATGATGAGATCAAACACATGAGAGGGATTCCATATGCTTCTGCAATTGGTTCAATCATGTATGCTATGATCTGTACTAGGCCAGATGTGGCTTATGCGCTTAGTATTGTTGGTCGATATCAAAATAATCCAGGAGAACGACATTGGAGTGCTGTTAAGACTATTCTTAAGTATCTTAGATGAACTAAAGAATATTTCTTGGTTTATAGTGGACAAGAGAAACTAATAGCATCTGGTTACTCTGACGCTAGCTTCATGACAGATAAGGATGACTATAAGTCACAATCAGGATATGTTTTTAATCTCAATGGAGCAGTAGTAGACTGGAAGAGTTTCCAAGTAAGACACTACAGCTGATTCGACAACAGAAACCGAGTACATTGCTGCATCAGAAGCAGCAAAAGTGGCCGTATGGATACGTGAATTCCTCAAAGAATTAGGGGTTGTTCCAAATAACAGTCGTCCAATAACCATTTATTGTGACAATACTGGTGCTGTTGCACAAGCAAAGGAACCAAGATGCGACAAGAGGAATGGACATGTGCTGAGGCGTTATCATGTGATTCGAGAGCAGATAGCAAGAGGAGAGGTTGCAATAGAACGTGTTTCCACTGAGGACAATTTGGCTGATCCCTTCACAAAACCTTTGAGCTGCGAGAAATATACTAGACATTTTGAGAATCTAGGTGTTAGACGCATGGTGATTGACACTAGGCCAAGTGGGAGATTGTTAGTATATATGTCCTAGCGACAATCATTTTTTTAAAAGACATATGTACTTGATCACATTTAGTTTTTATATTTGATATATACACGGTATTACACTTTATGAATGATTGTTTTTTATTGTCAATGTTTTATTCATAATTGTGTTCCTTTGGATTTATGTTGTCAATAAGTAAGTGAGAGTTTATATGATATAACATAAGGTCCTAAAATAGCCCCAATCAATGATCATCAAGAAAGGGATATTGATGATATGCGATAAGATTGGTATGTGGACTGCATCATACTTTTAGAAAGTATAGTTGATCTCACGACTATGAGTTCCTGTAATTCATGATGGTCACATAGATATTTTAGAAAATATTGGCATACCCACCGAGAAACCATTTGATAAGTTCTATTCATGTGTCTATGGGATTATCGGCATATAGAGTAGTGTAATAGTCCTCCGACTTGATGTCAATACGTACTACATGTGCGGAGTGATGTACTTTGACCATGAACAACGCTTGCACTCCAATCGGGGTAGATACGGCATGTGTTGGGTGCATCACGAAGCACATGGAGTAGTAGTTGAGCCAAGAAAGGATTCATTCCTCATAATAGATTAAGAGAGAACATTCTACTTCTCATATCTAGATGGATCATAAAGTCATTGGCCAATGCAAAGATATATTCGTTTTGGATATCGAATATGATCGTTATGGATCATCTAGAAAGATTGAGAGACAGAGACTGAGTTATTGGGATAGACATTATATCATGTTCTAGACTTAGTTGAATGTTCACTGAATGAAAGGATCGTATCACTATGAGCTCTATATTACAGCGAGTTTGAATAGTCCTCGCAAACGTCCTTATATATTAAGATTGTCTGGTAAATCATCTAGGGATTCTACTAAGACCTTAATTTGATTAGTGCTTAATATATAAGGCCCTATGGGTCACACAATAAGTGATTATACCTTCCGATTGAATTGTTAGAAGGAATTAAATATTATTAATTGGATTAAATAATATTTAATTCATAATACTGAAAATGGATTAAATATTAATTAGATTAAATATATTTAATTCATGATGTTGAAGGAGTGTTCTATTTGATAGAATTAATTAAGCGTGATAAATTAGATTTATTATACTTAATTAAGATGTGTTTATTATTTAATAAAGTTGATATTTTCTTTTATAATTTAGAATTAAAAAGAAAAGTAAATAAACTAAATAATAATATATATAATAAATAGAGAGTGGCGTAAGACCACTTCTCTATTGTGATTATTATTATTATTATTTTGGTTTGTTTTATCTACTTATTTAATTAATAAGGAGAATTGGTCCTAGCGGGATTAGGACTCATTAATTAGAAAGACTTTCATTGTGATTGAGAAACTAGTTTAGAACTAGTATAAATACATCCACCTCCTTCATAATTAGTGACTAGTTTTCAGATTCAGTATTACCAGTTTATTTCCCTGCGAAGAGATTTTCTAGCCTTTCTCTTAGGGAGATCTAACCATTCTTTCGGAAAGGAGAAATCACGTGGATACCAAAGGTCAAGGATTATCACCGCTAGGCTGGGAGATCTGTAAGTTCTAACTCAGATATGTTATTATTATCATATTCGTTATTTTGTCATAATCATGGAAGATCTGTTTGGGAAAATTTTAAACTTCCGCTGCCGTACTTTCGAGGTACGTTACATCAATTTTCTAACAGTTTGGTTATGGGAAAACCAAGCTCAAATAAAACTAATCGAATGTGCAACGTATCCTGAACGGTATAGGCAATGGCTCGATACTCTGCTTCTGTAGAAGACTTGGACACAGTAGGTTGCTTCTTCGATTTCCAGGATATCAGATTAGGACCCATAAATACCGCAAAACCTGTGGTTGACCGGGAGGAGTCAGGACATCCTGCCCAATCTGCATCTGAATAAGCTAGAACACACGTGGGTTTGGCAGAATGCTAAAGCCATAAACCATGCTCTCGGGTGCCCTGCAAGTACCTGAAAATTTTCTTAACTGCAAAAAGATGAGTAGTACGGGGATCACGCATAAACTGATACACCAAGTGTACTGCATAATAATATCCGGCCGTGTCAAAGTTAAATATTGTAGTGCACCTACCATGCTTCAATATTCAATGGAATCTGAAAGCAACTCACCATCAGACAGGGATAAAGTGGTGCGAGATGCTAAAGATGTGCGAACGGGTTTAACAGTATGGAGATGAAAGCGATTAAGAAGATAAGAAACATTTTTAGACCGAGAAAGAAACAGACCATTACCAGACCGATGGGACTCGATGCCCAAGAAATAATGTAAATCACTCAGATCCTTCATGGCAAAATGATTAGAAATAATAGAGATAAACTTGGTAATGGCTGATGGAGAATTACCAGTAATAATAATATCATCTACATATAATAATAAATAAATGATAGAATTATTACGGTGATAAATAAATAACGAATTATCAGACTTACTACAACAAAAACCCTGCTGAAGAAGAAAACTACTAAATCTATGAAACCATGCACGTGGTGCTTGCTTAAGACCATAAATGGCCTTTCGCAAATGACAAATGTGATTAGGAAATTGCGGGTGCATAAAACCACAAGGTTGACGCATATAGATTTCTTCAGTAAGATAGCCATGTAAGAAAGCATTTTTAACATCAAGTTGGCGAATTACCCAACCAAAAGAAACAACAAGAGTGAGAACAATGCGAACTGTGGTGGGTTTAATGACAGGACTAAAAGTTTCAAAGAAATCAATCCCAGTCTGTTGATTAAAACCTTGAGCAACTAATCGAGCTTTATGGTGCTCAACGGACCCATCCGAGTGATATTTAGTTTTATAAATCCACTTACAACCAACTATATTCTTAGAATTGTCAAAGGGCACCAGATCCCAAGTATTATTATTAATGAGAGCATTAAATTCATCGGCCATAGCCTCACACCCTTTAGTCTGTTTATTAGCCTCAGTAAAACACGTAGGGTCTGCTGAATTAACAACTTTACTTAAATTAAAAATGGTTTTGGGTTTAAAAATTCCCGTCTTAGCACGAGTTTGCATGGGATGCATGTTGACCACCGGGGGCGGATTAGAGACTTTGACTTCACAGTATGGTATACTGCGACTTGGTGAGATGTAGTGGGAGGGGAAGGTAACGCCGAACTCGGGTGGAGTGTGAGCCGGCGGTACAACAGCAGGGGAAGACGAGGTCTGAACGCCAGCCATGGTGGACGAAACTACCGAAGAAGATACGGCGGCGGTGGTGGGAGCCGAAGAACTCAAGGCGGCGATTTAGGGTAGCTGAGAGAGAAGAGAGAGAAAAAAATTAGGGTTTATTCTGTGCTCTTGATACCATGTGAAATAATGGAACATGATACTCTCTAGGAGTTCTTGTTGGAAAAATGTGTTAAAATTGCATTAAATGGTCTTTTTGGGGCAATTATTTGAGTGGGGTCCACTTCCGATTTGGGTCGGGTCAAAGTGGTTTCGGATTGTCCTTGTTAAGGGCTACAATTCGATATATGGTACACTCAAAACGGATAACGGGTGAATGAGAAATTGATTCTCGAAGTTTACTCGTTGAAATGGAAAAACTGGGAAAATGATGAGTTTCTAGTGTGTTTTATCCCACACCGAAAAACTCAAGGGATTTTCACCCCCTTATAAAGGGAAGCCTCTTTTAAGGAGTTAAGATTCCTAAAGGGAAAGGCTCTCTCTTACGCGCAGGGGGGGGGGGGGTGCCGATCAAATCCCGAAACGGAGAAGAAAAACCGCGACTCGTGTGCCTTCCAGGAGCGTGCCTTCCAGCCCGGACAGCGGCCTGCCTTCCAGCCCAGTCAGGAGCCTGCCTTCCAGTCCAGCGGAAGCCTGCCGCACGAGGAGCCACATAGTGTTTGTTCCAACAATTTCTTGCCAGTCACAGGAGAATTAATTAATGACAACTAAAGCATCAACTAAAAGTTTTATATCATGCAAATAATGCTCCATAGATAGATTTGGTTTCTTTTTTGTATTAGATAACAAAGGTTTAAGCTCCATGGACCTAGCCAAACTGGCTGACATAAATCGAGATTGCAAATGATCCCATATACCATAAGGATGTTTAATATTATGCATATCAATTAATACATCACGAGAGAGAGTGGCAAACAACCAAGAGTGAATTGTTTGATCCACCCGGAGCCAATGATAATAGTCAGTATTAACGATTTGCTGATTATTAAAATTCATGGTATATATGGGAGGTAACTGAATGAAGCCGTCAACAATACCAAAAGACCTTGAGAGACGAGGAAGGACTCAAATTGAGTGCGCCAAGTGATGTAATCTTCCAAAGCTTTGAGTTTGATCGTGATTACCTAGATGACATTAGCAATTCCATGGGAAATAGTTTGTGCCAAAGACGTCATGGGAGACCCGAAAAGAGAATTGTCATATGCCGGTTGTGTGATACTCGGCATTCCTGCAAAAGATGAGCCATAGAAAGGAGTGCTAGGTAGTTGTCGTGGGCACTGAACAGCAGGTCCCTGGATTGCTGGAGAAGAAGGCGCACCAATTGACTGTCACGGAAATTACTGCGGCAGAGTGTCAAAGATGGGGTGGGATCCTGCAGCCGTGTATAGGTGGAAGACGTACGACAGAGAGGTTTCTGGCGGCACACTTAGTGACGCTTGCGGCATAGAAGAAGAAGTCGGTGTCTGTAATGGCGTCTGGGAAATAACAGTCACGATAGAAGATGAAAGCTCTGCAATTGAGTTGATAGGGACGTCCGACGCACAAGAAAGCGATGGGGAAGATGTTTTCTGCAGTTCAACGGTGGAGAAAGGTTGCGACATGGCGGACATACGTAGGTCGAAGGAAGAGAAAAAAATTAGGTTTTTCTCTGGGCTCGTGATACCATGTGAGAATTATGGGACAAAGATACTCCAATAGGAGCCCTGACCTGAATATATATAATAATAGATCCAAAATACAATAGGAAACAAATCTCCTAAATATATTCTATTACAAATATCACAATTCTTTACTAAATAACATTTTTCTACAATGTATATAAAATCACTTCTCAAAAGCACAAGAA